CCCAAATCGGCAGCCCCCCAGGCTGGCTCTGCGGGAACCCACCTGCCCAGAGTATAGCCAATGAACTTGCTGCGGCTGGACTCCAGGAACATCTCAATGTCCTTCTCTCTGCAGCAAAGGGGCAAGGGGAAGAGTCACATCTTCCTGTCCGCCTGGGCACACCGCAGCCCCAGGCACAGGGTGCCAGGAAAAGCCTCACCGTCAGATAAAGGAGATGGTGCTGAGCCTGCTCCACCGAGAGAACACCCACCAAAGTGACCATCAGATCAACCACCCCATCTTCCCCACACTGCTGCTGAAGTTCTCAATATTTACCAGCCTCCGTTTTCCTCAACCCGCTCCAGCTCTCCCCACAGCCTGGCCCAAGGTCAGCCCCACGGACTCACCGGACCTTGGGGGCCCAGGGCAGCCCCTTGGGGCAGGTGATGCGGTCACTGGGGGGATGCTGAGTGGGGGGAGGCATCACTTCGTCCCGTTCGAGGGGGAAGGTCTCTCCCTCCAGGCTGTTGTCATCATCATTTTCCTCCTCTTCCTCACGGGAATCATCAGCTTTGTAAGGGTCCCGCTCGTTAAAGGCATCAAGGTTATCCTGCTTAATCAGGGCCTGGAGAGAGAAGAGCAGGCCGGTGAACATCCTGGGGACAAGCTGCTCCAAGGTCAGTGCCCAGACCCCAGCCGTCCCCTCGTTAATGTCACCGTCCCCAGCTCCTTGCGCTGGCCTCACCTTGTGCTCCCGCCGGCCTCGCTTCTGCTGCTGCTCAATCAGATCGGAGGCGGACGCGGGTGGGGAAGCAGCTCGCATGTTGCGGATCACTTTAATGCTGTCCTCCGGGAGTGGCGGGAGGCCCAGGATCTCCCGCTTCTCTGCCTTCATGCTCTGGAGCTCCTCAAAGCCCCCCAGGGTGCACTGCAAGGGAGACCACGGCACCCTGAGCACGTGGCACCGGGGGCTTCTGCACCTGCCCTCCCCAAATCCACTCTTCAGGTGTCCCAAATCCTTCCCTGGGGTGTAAAACAAGAGCTGCCTGTCCCCACACTGCTCTCGTCATTGTGAAAGGCAGAAGGGACAGGAGGGCGGTCAGGCATCCACAACTGAAGTGTGTGGACCTTTTCTTTCACACAAACCCCATCCAGGGAGCTTGCTTTGGGTCCGTCCTTGGTATCCAGCTCCAGACACCAATATCCAATGCTCTCCTATGGGGTGAAACCTGGAGGTGGGTTTAATAGGGCGCAAACTACTCGGCTGAATGCCAGAAAAAGAGCATGGAGCAATTACAGCCAGCTCAGAGGGCAGAACTTCCTTCCTCTGCCGCATGTCAAACCGCAAGACGCGTGTTGGCACAGCCCATGGCCTCTCCTTACCAGCACGGTTTTCCAGAGCAAGAGCAGCACCTTCTTCATGGGGAAGTGCGGAGCGTGGCCGCTGCAGAATTTGGTCACCATCCCAAAGAGCATGACAGAGAAGGGCTCGTTGTTGTACAGGGGGGCTCCTGGAACCACACGGCAGCAATAGCCAGGCATTCCTCATCCCTGTCCTCACCCCAACCACCAGCACCACCAGCCCCTTCGCCCTCCCACGGCCTCTGCAGTCCGGCACCCCCCAATCTCTGAGATCCTCGTGTCACCCTAGACAGCTCCTCTCTTCCTTTCCAAGGCCTTGTAACCTCCATGATTTCTTACCTCTGTGTGGAGAGGAAGTGACAGCCCCTGGAAGTTTTTCTCCCCAGGGAGAGAGCACCCAGACAGCAGAAAAGGCTGGCTGGCTTCCTCTGCTCATTCCCCTTTGCCCTACCAGCAAGGTTCAGCCTAGCAGAAACCAAACCAGTGCTGCCAGTCCCCATTAACTGAGGCCTAGAGCCAAACCCCATCTCACTCTCTTGCTCTTCAGCCCTGGAAACCTCCGTCCCATCAAGCGCCAAGCACCTGGTCCTCACCCAGCTCTGCTCGGAAGGTCTGTCTCATGCTCTTCCACTCGGGCTTGTCCCCCTCGGCCTCCTGCCGAACCGTCTCCACGATCAGGTACATGATGTTCAGCAGCACCCTGCAAAAAGCAGAAGGTCAGGGAAATCAACAGAGGTTGGGATGAGTTTTGGAGGCACCACTGGCACCCAGGGCTCTGGGGGAGGCTGGATCTGCCCAGGCCAGAGCCAGCTTCCACACCCCCGCTCCACACCAGGAGATTGGATGCTCTGGGGAAAAAAAGGTCTCTGCAAGTGAAAGCAAGAAAAAAAATTGCTGTCTCGTACTTTACTGCTTTGCCGTCCCCAACCAGCCACACGCCTGCTGTGCGGGCTGAGCGCAGGGGACGTTTACTGGCTGAGCAGACCTGAGTGCACCCGACGGTGCTCACGGAGCCGGGGCAGAAGCTGGGACAGCCCCGGGACACCCGCCGGTGCCTGCGGGCCTGCCTCAGCCCACCAAAGAAACCAGCAAACACGGGGTCCCCGTCTCACCCCCAGAGCATCCCCTCCTCCCGAGCCCTGCTCCGTACCTCAGGTCCGTGCTGTCAGCCAGAGAGATGGCCGGCTTCCTCACGGCACTGCTGCAAGCCGCGCTGTTACTGCAGAGGGAAAAGAGCCTCAGAGGGGCCTTTGGAGACGTTTGAACTCTGCCCCAAGCAACCCACACGCCAAAGCCAAACCCTGGAATAGATATTGCTGCAACGAGTCCTCCATTCACAGTGCAATCGAGGGAGGGGGAACAGACCCACCTCTATTTGCTGCCAGGCAGCATGGCTCATAGCGAATTTCTGTATAAATCAGGTATAACTCTACATTACTTATCCACCCAGAACAGAAGTCATTCTGGCGGCTGCAGGAATCAGATTAGGGATAGACAGAGCTGGAATGGGACTGCCACAAACTGGAAAAACTCTTGCCAAGGAGCTCCAGAGCCATTTCTGAAGTGCTTTCCCCCAGTACTCACTCAATCTCCATGTTCAGCAGCTCCACCAAAGCGTTGAACGTCCCCACTTCCAGCAGAAGGAAGATGTTATACCTCATCCAAGCCTGCACCTCGGCCTCGGAGCCACACTCCCCAAACGTGCCTGCAACGACACCCTCGCTGAATCCCATCTCCGCGGGGATCCCCAGGCCCTCCCACACTGCCAGAGCGCTTTGCAAGGGGAACGAAAAACACAGCCTTAATTTTAAGGCAAAAAGTTGGTTGCAGAGGACGGAACTGCCCTCCTGCGGGTAATGCAGCCCAGGACTGGCAGAGCCGGGATAGCACGGGGAAGTCGGCCAAATTTTGGACCAAACTCCTATAAACTGTCTGGCTCCCATGAGAATTAGCTTCCTTCCAGACATCCCAAGTGAAATCAAAAATGCAAGGAAAGAAACCGATTTTAAATATTTTAAATCATAGAATCATTTAGGTTAGAAAAGCCCTTTAAGATCATCCAGTCCAACCATTAACCTACACTGCTAAGTCCACACTAAACCAATCAAGGGTAGACTAGACTAAACCATGTCCCCAAGTGCCACATCTACCCGTGTTTTGAACACTTCCAGGGATGGGGACTCCACCACCTCTCTGGGCAGCCTGTTCCAATGCTTGACCACCCTTTCCATAAAGAAATTTTTCCTAATTTCCAACCTAAATCTCC